AAAGAAAGAAAAGAAAAAAACACAGCAAATCCATGATCACCAGGGGCAAATCCCAATAACACAGAAGTGAATAAAATAAAAGGCACGATCCGTCTCCTTCCTTCTACCGCCCCTCCCCCCCAAAAGTTACTGGGTAGTAGAACAAATAAAAAGTGAAATGATAAAATTCCTAGAAACAAATGAGAATGAAAACACAGCATACCAAAACCTTTGGGATTCAACAGAGGCAGCGCTGAGAGGACAATTTATAGCAATAAATGTACACAACAAAAAAAGAAGAAAACAACAGAATCAACACATTAACACAACATCTCCAACTATTAAAAAAAGACCAACGAAAGTACACTTACAGTCACCAGAAAAAAAGAGATAATAAAGATTAGAGCAGAAATAAATGAGATAGAAAACAGAAAAATGGTATAAAAAAATTGTTCTGAAATACCCATTCTCTGCAGTGAAGTTCATAGCCTATTATGATCCACACAGCTGAAAGCCTTTGCATAGTCAGTAAAGCAAATGTAAACATCTTTTTGATAGTCTGTCTCAGCTTTCAGCCAAAATCGATCTAATATCAGCAGTTATAGCCTTTATTCCACATCCTCATCTGAATCCATCTTGAACTGCTTCCAGTTTTCTGTCAGTGTAGCATTGCAGCTGTTTTTGAATTATCATTAAACAATTTTTACTTGCATGTGATATTAATGATATTGCTTGATGATTTCTGCATTCCATTGGATCCACTTTCTTTGGAATAGACATGAATATGGATCTCTTCCATTCACTTGGCCAGGTAGTTGTCTTCTAAATTTCTTGGCTTAGATGAGTGAGTATCCTTCTCCATTGCTGGACCATTTTGTTGTGCCTTAAAAAAAAATTTTTTTTAAGGCTTTGACGGGGTTTTTTGTTCACATAGTTTTCTGTGCTGAGTTTGTTTATAGAATTTTTTGTTGTTGTTTCTTTTGTTGATTCTGTGTTTACTGAGTCTATATATTCTTTCTTATTTTTATAAGTTTGTTAGCTTTCTTTGTGGTTACCATGATATTTACCTTTATCTTCCTAAGTTTAAAGCACTTTTATTTTATTATATATATATCCTCTTTGCCTTCCCTCCGTATGGAAGTTCTATAACTAGCCTATTTATTCCCACTGGTTTGTTCTGACATTGTCATCATTTACGGATTGATGTTTCTGGTTCCCTGTTTTCAGTCTTTTAGCATTGTTTTGTTTTTGAAAATTACTTAGGTAGGTAGGTTTGTGGTTAATGGTGTCCTACATACTAGTTTTAAGTGGTTTTTTTTTTTTATATTACTGGTGTGTTTTTTTTCAAGGACTCCTTTTAATGTTTCTTGCACAAGTGGGTTGTTTTTACACAGTCCCTTAATTTCTGCCTATGTGGAATATATCTGGAAATGTCTAATTGTGTTATATTTGAGAGACAATTTTGTTGAATGTATAATTCTTGGTTGATGCCTTTTTTTTCCTCTCAAGGTTTTGTATATGGCATCTTATTGCCATCTTGTTTGTATGGTTTCTGCTGAGTAAGCTGAAGTTATTATCGGTCTTACTGGTTCCTCTCTGTAGGTAACTTCCTGTTTTTTCCTAAGCTGCCCATGGATTTATTTTTTTGTCTATAGTTTTGGCAAATTTGATTATAGTATGTTTTGGTGATTTTATTTTGGGACCTATCCTACATGTTGAGCTTCTTGGGTGGATATCTTCTCATCTTTCACACTGGGCAAGTTTTTTGACAGCAAATCTTAAGATGTTCTCTGTGTTTTTTGTGGTTTATTTTTCCCCCTCCTTCTGTTCTGGATTTGATCACATGCACATTATTCTTATTATCCTACATCATTCTTAGGCTCTATTTTTCTTCATTCTTTTTCTTATTTTTACTCAAACAAATTGGTGCCAAGGGATTTGTCCTCTATTTCACTGAATCTGTCTTCCAATATTTCAGTTATGCTCCTATGTTCTTCTGTTGTGTTGTATAATTAATCTTTTGGATTTTTAGTTGCTATTTTTGTATGGTTTGTAATTATCTATTCAATTTGTTATATATTTTCATCCATCTCTTTTTTAATCTCTTAAACCCTATGGGTTGTTGTTGTTAGGTGCCATCGAGTTGGTACCGACTTATAGCGACCCTGTGCACAACAGAACAAAACACTACTCGGTCCTGGGCCAACCTCACAATTGTTGCTACCCTTGAGCCGATTGATGCTACCACTTTGCAAGTCCATCTTGCTGGGGGTCTTCCTCTTTTTCTGACCTTTTACCCTACCAAACATAATATCCTTCTCTAGGGACTGGTCCCTCCTGAAGTATGAGAGACGAAATTAGGCACACCAGGACAGCCAGTTCTATAGGGCACCAAGTTGTCAATTTCTCTTCATCAGTTTGAAAGAACAATTGTATTACTATGTGAGTGATTGAAGAGTTCTTAGAAATTTCATATTTTTTCTGTCATGTAGTGAGGACATTAAGTTTTGAAGCAAAATCCAAGGATGGTAGGACTGAGTTTTTAGAAAGTCAGTAGTAAAAGAATTTATAATATTTAACTGTATAAGATTTAAAATACAAGTGGTGTAGAAAACAAATATACCTAGGGAGGACAAATATGTACGGTAGTTGTTGAAATAGTAATCAAAGATAGCAATTTAAAAACATATTATGTATGGAGAAATTACAAAGGAATTTGGAGGTTTTTTTTTTTGGGGGGGAATAATTTTAATTGATTTTCTATACACAAATGTCACTGATAGCCATCCTATAGAGAAAAAATGTCTTGAGAATGAACTCTTCTAATTTAACATCAGATTATTATGTGTTTTGCGTATTTAATCGTATTTTATATATTTAAAGTCATTAATATATGAAAAATTGTTTTAAATTCTGGAAAGTTTCAATTTATGGTAATGTACAGGCTACTGAAATACCATATACAGAGGAAAAATGGTATTCTAAAAAATTGGGTACATTTATTGTTGTTGTTGTTGCATGCTGTGAAGTCAGTTCCAACTCATAGTGGCCCTGTATAGGATTTCCAAGGATCAGGTACATATATGGTGGTGGTGGCGGTGTGCCATGGAGTTGGTTCTGACTAATAGCAACCCTGTATAGGGTTTCCAAGGCTGTAAATCTTTACTAGAGCAGAAAGCCTCATCTTTCTCCTGGGGAACGGCTGGTAGTTTTAAACTGCTGACCTTGAGGTTAGCAGCCCGACTCGTAATCACGCTACCAGAGCTCCTAGGTGCACATATAGAAAATAATTATTATGGTACTCTTACTGAACTAAACTTGAGGTATGTTGGGAAATAATACTATATTGATGTAATGTTTAAGTTATTGATATATTATAACATCATCGAAAATATTATTTAAGTCTTCTCTTTCCTCTACCTCTATTCTTGTGTTTTGTTACAGATCATACATCAGTTGGTGGACTGGGAGACAGTTTTTACGAATACTTACTCAAAGCATGGTTGATGTCAGATAAAACAGACCATGAGGCAAGAAAAATGTATGATGATGCTATTGAGGTAAATATTATCAGAACATTTTTCTACTTAATTTATTGTCTTTACCCTGTGAACATTTGATAATGGTTAGTCATATATGAGCATTTTATTGTATGCATCCGAGATATGCATATAATACAGTATAGTCACTTCTTATATGCATTCATTGTATAGATAGTGTTGCATTATAATGACACATAGTACTTTTTTATTTGTGGCATTTTAAAGAAATTATCAAAGAAAGAATTTAGTAAGCATTTTATTTATGAAAAATTTTTATTGCTTTTAGTTATTTTCTACAAAGACTGGAAAAGCTTCTAATGTAACATACATTTCCAGAACCATTTCTTCTTTCAGTGACAGCACACTTACATAGTTTTTCCATGCCAAACACTGTTCTAACTCCTTGTTGTTGTTGTTAAGTACCGTGGAGTTGGTTCCGACTCATAGTGACCTTGCACAGGGTTTCTGAGGCTGTAAATCTTTACGGGAGCAGAACGCCCCATCTTTCTCCAGAACCGCTGGCAGTTTCGAACTGCTGACCTTGAGGTAGGCAGCCCGACTCGTAACCACTATGCTACCAGAGCGCCTTATTTAATCATTATTCCCATTTTATATAAAAGGACCTTAATAGAAATTAACTAACTTGCTGAAGGTTACACAGTTGGTAAGTGATGAAACTTGGAACTGAACAACAGTGCAATGTGGTCATTTATTGTCTGCTTTCTTCTCCTTCCGTATGTCCAGAATCCCCACTCCTTTTGCTTCTAAAGATTGAAAATCTACTCTTTCTTGTTATAGGCTATAGAAAAACATCTTATTAAGAAGTCCCGTGGAGGCCTTATCTTTATTGGAGAATGGAAGAATGGACATTTGGAAAAGAAGATGGGACATTTGGCCTGTTTTGCTGGGGGAATGTTTGCACTAGGAGCAGATGGTTCCAGAACCGATAAAGCTGGTCATTATTTAGAACTTGGAGCGGAAATTGCACGAACATGTCATGAATCATATGACAGAACTGGTAAGACTATTAAGAAGACCAATTACTTAGTGTAAAATAACCTCAAAGTGAAAAGTGTGTCCAGGAAGTAGAAGGAAAATATGTAAGCAATTTTCACTTTGTAATGATTTTAACACAGTAAACAATTTTTTTTTTTTTTTAATGATTAAAAATTTTAATTTCAATTCTGGAAATTGTATTCCTGTATTAGGGTTTTGGATTTTTGTTGCTGTTGCTCTTAATTCTGTATTCTGTAACAGTTATTTGTTAATAAAGATTTTAAAGTAGTTTTAAAGATAAGATTATTTGGGGATGTAGACTCGACGGCACTTAACAACAACAACAACATATATATCATTGTTTATGTGGGAGCTTTAAAAAGTTCAAGGAAAATGGAATTAATGATAATGGAATTTTTCGATGAACTTTTTGAATCCTCATATTTTAAAATAATGTTTTATTCACTTGTTTTAGATTCTGTAGAACCAAAATTACTTAAAAGAACACAAAATTGACTGATTTCGGTTACACTGCCTTGCCAGTTACCTTGTGAAATTAAAAATGTTCAAAAGATAATAAACAGTACAGACAGTCCCTGGGCTATGAACGACCAACTTGTGGACAGCTGCCTGCCCTTCAGAGAGGACTTTAAACGAATTGGGATCAATTCTGTTAAATAACAGACCTTAATTTTTACAGTTTGAGTGATTGTTACAGTAGCCAGACTGAGAAAAATTATTGGTCAAAGTCTTGGAATGAGAGACTTGGAAGAGACATATTGAGCCCTTTCAGGAGTCTGTGTTGCATTAGATTGGGTTATTGGCAACACTGTGGAGAGCCCATGCATTGAAAGGGGCAGAGTTGGCCACCATCTTTGAGCAGGGCACCACCATCTGTGAGCCGTACTGTATTCTCTCAACTCAAAATTCATTTTATGTTAATGTAAATTTGCTCTCACTATGAAACAACTGAACCATCCCTACTCACAAAAAATTCTTCACCATACTCGCTACCACTTGCTGCAAGGACAGCTTTTAAATAATTGAAAAAGCTTTCTTTTCTTGCAATCAAGTAAGGCTAAATCATGACCCTTAGCACCTGTTCTACCTGATAGGAACAGGAGTGAATCTTGTTTGTAATCTACGACTGCCTATAGTTGTCTTAAATGTTTAAATGGTATCTAGATAGCTAAGTAGTAGTTCACCTGTTTGTTCAATAATTTTTAATATTGCTTGCTCCTTTAAGTTGAAAAAAATAACCTGGTATTGCTTTGGACAGATAATTAATTATTCTGGGCTTCAGTATACTTATTTGGAAAATGAAATGATTTTCAATGAGAGCAAAAATGGGCTCTTGGGGACAAAAAACAAAGTCTTTTTCTTTTATATATAAAGTACAGATACTCCAATCTATTTGTATATAATCCATACTGAAGGCTGTTGTCTTTGATCTTCACCAGTAAATACTTCAAATCCTCTTTATGTTCAGCAGGATAGGTTGTCATCAGCATGTGACAGGCTGTTAATCTTTTAGCAATACTGATGGCACATTCTTCATATAGTCCAATTAAGTGTTGTTGTTGTTGTTGTTAAGTTCCGTCAAGTTGGTTCCTGCTCAGAGAGACCTTGTATTGAGTTTCCAAGGAGTGAATTAGTGAGTTTTAAGAAGTGGCCTTGTAGTTAATAGTCCAGTGCTTATCCTACTGATTTTTATTAAATTTATATTGTTATGTTGATGATCCACCACTCGTCTGTCAGTTTGTCATACTGTGGTGGCTTGCATGTTGCTATAATTCTGGAAGCTACGCCACAGATATTCTAAATACTACCAGGGTCACCCAGCGTGGACAGTTATCAGATGGGCTTCCAGACTAAGACAGACCAGTAAGAAGGAGACATGGACTACTGCTGAATATTTAGTCACTGAAAACCTTATAGATAGCAGTAGAACACTCAGCACCAGAATATTGTATATTGAAGCATGATGAAGAATACCAGAATACTGTCAGCTGTAGTGCCAGAAAATGAGCCCCTCAGGTTGGAAGGCATTCAAAATATGACTGGGAAAGAGTTGTTTCCTCAAAGTAGAGTTGACCATGATGACACTAATGGAGTAAAGCTGTAGCAGCCTTCATTTGTTGATGGGACACAGCTCAGAATGAGGAGAAACAGCTGCAAACATCCAGCAAGACTAAAACATGGAATGTACGAAGTATGAATCTAGGAAAATTGGAAGTTGTCACAAATGAAATGGAATTCATAAACTTAAGTGTCCTACTGAGCTGAAATGAATTGGTATAGGCCATTTTGAATCTGACAGGAACATGCTTTTCTATGCCAGGAATGACAAATTGAAGAGGATTAGTGTCACATTCATCATCAAAAAGAACATCTCAAGATCTATCTTGAAGTTCAATGCTGTCTGTGGTAGGATAATACCCATACATCTGCAAGAAAAACCAGTTAATACCACTATTTTCAAATTTACACACCAACCACTCGAATCAGTGATGATGAAATTGAAGAATCTACTAAATTCTTTAGTTAGAAACTGATCAAACATGCAATCAAGGTGTATTAATAATTAGTGGTGATTGGAATGCAAAGGATAGAAACAAAGAGGAAGGATCTGTAGTTGAAAAACATGACCTATGACCTTGGTGATAAGAAATGGTGTTAGAGATCGCATGATAGAATTTTGCGAGACCAATGATTTGTTCAATGCAAATAACTTTTTTTTTTTTTTTTTAAGACTGCTATATATACACATGGACCTCACCAGATGGAATACACAGAAATCAAATTGACCACATCAAACCAGGTTAGGGGCAAACTGTGGACAGGTCTTTAATTGCTCATAAGCAAGTTCAGGCTGAAGCTGAAGAAAATTAAGACAAGTCCACAAGAGCCAAAATATGACCTTAAACATATCCTACCTGACTTTGGAGATCTTCTCAAGAACAGATTTGATTAATTAGATGCTAATAATTGAAGACCAGAGAGTTTTGAGATCAAAAACATCACACAGGAAGAAAAGAAAAGGTCATTAAGAAGACAAGAAAGAAGAAAAAGACCAAAATGTTTGTCAGAAGAGACTCTGAAACTAGCTCTCCAGCATAGAAATGCTAAAGAAAATGGAAGAAATGAGAAGGTGAAAGAGCTGAACAGAAAATTCCAAAGGGCAGCTTGAGAAGAGAAAGTCAAATATCATGTAATAAAATTTACAAAGATCTAGAGTTAGAAAACCAAAAGGGAAAAAACACACTCAGCATTTCTCAAGCTAAAACAACTGAAGAAAAAGATTCAAGCCTTGACTTACAATATGGAAGGATTCTAAGGGCAAAATACTGAATGATGCAGAAATCATCAATAGTAGATGGAAAGGATACACAGAGTCAAAAAGAAATAGTTGATGTCCCAACCATTTCAAGAGGTAGTATATGATCAAGGATCGTTGATACTGAAGAAAAAGTCCAAGGTGCACTGAAGGCATTGGCAAAGAACAAGGCTCTGGGAATTCTGGGAATACAAATGGAAAACTTTTAACAAATTGATGAGGTGCTGGAGGCACTCATTCATCTTTTCCAAGAAGTTTGGAAGACAGCTACCTGGCCTATAATTGGAAGAGATCCATATTTGTGCCCATTCCAAAGAAAGGTGACCCAACGGAATGCAAAAATCATGGGACAATATCATTAATATCATATGCCAGTAAAATTTTGCTAAAGATCATTTAAAAACTGCTGCAGCAGTACATTGACAATGCACAGCTAGAGGTTCAGGCCTGATTCAGAAGATGTGGAATGAGGCATATCATTGCTGACATCAAATGGATCTTGGATGAAAGCAAGATGTATACCTGTGCTTTATATGACAAGCCATGGATGACACTGTGGAGAATAGATATTCCAGAACACTTAATTGTACTCATGAGGAAACTGTACATAGACCAACAGGGAGTTGTTTAAACAGAACAAGGGAACACTGAATGGTTTTAAATTAGGAAACGTATGTGCCAGGGTTGTCTTCTTTCACCAATCTTATTCAATCTGTATGCTGAGCAAATAACGCGAGAAGCTTCATTAGATGAAGAAGAATGTGGCATCAGGATTCGAGGAAGATTCATTAATAACCTGCGATATTCAGATGATACAGCCTTGCTTGCTGAAAGCAAAGACACTTAAAATACTTACTGATGAAGATCAAAGATGACAGCCTTCAGTATGAGTTGCACCTCAATGTAAATATAACAAAAATACACACCACTGGATCAGTAAACAATATTCATGTAAATGGAGAAAAGATTAAAGTTTTCAAAGTCTTCATTTTGCTCAGATCAGCCATCAACATTTATGGACGCATCAGTCATCTAATCAAAGGATGTATTGCATTAGGCAAATCTACTGCACCAAGATCTCGTCAAAGTGTTCAAGAGCAAAGATGTTGGTTTGAGGACTAAGGTGCCCCTGACCCAAGCCATGGTATTTTCAGTAACCTTATATGCACATGAAAGTTGGACAGCGAATAATGAAGACCATAGGAAAATTGATGCATTTGAGTTATGGTGTTGGAGGACAGTGTTAAAAGTACCATGGTGAGATGTTTGCTCAGATTCTTGCCCCTCTCTTTAATTGAGTTTTGTTTTTTTTTTTTCTAATTGTTGGGTTTTAATAGTTTTCTATATCTTGGATAGTCAATTTCCAATAAGTGTTTTATACATATTTTCACCCAGTATTGGTCTTGTATTTTTATTTGCTTTACATTATATTGTGCAGAGCAGAAGTTATTAATTTTAGTAAAGTAAAACATCCATAATTTCATAGATTATACTTTTGGTGATATGTTTTAAAACTTTTTGTCAATCCTAACAAGACCTAGTTTTTGTATGTTATCTTCTTGAAGTTTTATAGTTTTATGTTACACATTTAGGTCTGTGATCCATTTTGAGATATTTTGTGACCTGTGTAAGGTCAGTGTCTAGCTTAATTTTTCAGTTTTTGATGTCCAGTTGTTCCAACAATA